ATGCTGTGGGGTGCAGTTCTTGGCTTTGTCTATAGCCTAACCTCCCAGGGTGCTCTTTATAGGAAGTGAAGGAAAAGACTTGTTTTGTCTGTGTGCACATGGATATTTATAGATCTGCAGGAAACTTAGCTCTTCTGTTATAAACTCAGTCTTTTTTGTACAACTTATTTTAAAGTAAATTGCTCAGTTTTAGGTTCATCCCACAAGCTTTGAGAATGCACCATGTGCTTTCAGCATAAGGTATAGAGCTCTCATCTAAAGACAACACCGTTGCAGGACAATTTGCAGTGTTGCTGTATACTGGAAAAAATAAAGCAGTTCATGTTGCATCTTGGTCTCCCTTCCCAATATAAAACTCAACACACTGCAACCAAGAGTCCCGATGAGTCACTGTCCAGTTATTAATCTATGGTATGCCAAAAACATTCAAAGCCACAGAATATAATTACTCAGGAGAATACAGTATTGGCTGGAAATTGAAGTTTAAAATGCTCTAGCTCTTGTTTCTCCTGTGTATGCTGCTTAAAAAATATTTCTAAGTGGAAAATGGAAATTTGCTATCTCTTGGGTAAGGGGGAGAAGAATTGACAATTCCTCTGTGAACTAAAATGGCTGTTCAGCACTAAAGCCAGGGACAACCATAAAAAAGCAAAGCGAAGTGAAGTGCCTCTAGAAAATAATGACTTCATTAAGGGAAGAGCAACATCTTATTCTTACTTATTTATTAGGAATCTCTTCGAATAGAGAACAGTGTCAACTGGCTAGTTTTATCTCATTAAAAGCTTCTGTAGTGACTTCTTTTTAATACAGTGGACCTGAAAACTCTTTCAACTATTAATGCTCAAAGCAAGATGATCTGTCAGATTTTCATTTTTATTCTACAACTCACTTGGACTTATTTCGTGGCCTGCCAGGTAAAAGCTGTCTACTTTGTCTCATTCCAGTTGCTAATCTTTAAATCAAGGAGGACCCTCAGAGCATTTATGCTCTGCCCTATATGAGAGGTAATCTTTTCTGTCTGTGTACAAGACCAGAGTTGCAGTGCAAATGCTCTTATGAGAACTTGGGGACTCTGTAAAGGTCCCAATCTGATTGGAAATGTAGGTCCACCCCTAAGCACATAGCCTCTGTCTCCTTTCTTATCTGGGAGAAAAGCATCCTCTTTCAAGGTTTTCTGGCTTCTGGACATTCCATCTGTGTAGATGCTGTGACTGAGATGAGCAGTATGTGGTTCAGAGCCACCAGGAGCCAAAGGGACTTTCCCTCAGCAGAGTTTCAGCTGGATGCCTCTGTGTAACATGGCTCCCATGCTCATCACTGAGCCTGGTATCATTTGGTTCTTGTGGTAATTTTTAAAAGGGGCAGTTCCATGTCTACTCCTTTTTCCAGCAAACTAGTAACAATAGTGAGCAGTAATATTATGATCTGTTTCACCAGTGGGTGTCCAGAGAGCATTAGAACAAATTGCATTTTACCTTATTACAGTTTTTTGAATCCATATTGCCTAACAGTTGGCTGTGGTTTTCATTGAGTATAATCATTATTTCTGCAGTTTCTCTTCAGCAGCATTTCTGGCACCATACCTGTACATACTCTTGTAGTCAAGGGGAAATGAATCTTTGCTTGTTTGCAAGCTCCTAGAAAAGTTTCTCTGATCTCATGCTGGATGCTGTCACGGTCAACTTTGTCCACGTGGTGGTGTTGCATTCTCTTACGTGTGGTGACCTTGCATTCTCTTACCAAGTGCAGTTATCCACTACAGGTGTATTGCTTTCCAAATTTAGGGCATTTTCTTGGCCCACACTTCTTGCCAGAGCATGTACAATCCCATGTGATTTTGCATATATTTTTTGAGCTCCAAAATGAACCTAGACCTTTCTGGCTTTTTTTTTTTTTTAATGGATTTTGTTATAAAAGATAATCCTAATTTACAACAGAAGAACATTATCAGTCCTCTCACCATATGTCTTGGGGCACAGTTTCCTGATATGCCAGCCTTAGTAATCAAGGTGATATGGAGTTTCGCTATGTGAACCTATGGATGTTCTGTTAGAGAAGGGAGTTATTCTTACCTTGATCACATCAATAATCCAGTTCTAGTACATAGAACTCCTTCTGCTTAGAATGTTTTAAATATACTTTGCCTAAAACCATATCTTGGTCAGAAATAGCTCAGAGCCCAAGACTTTGAAGCCAATCTACTATCTACTATCCTTTTCTGAACTTAAGCTTGTGTGCATAATTCTTCATCCCAGCACAACTACTTCCAACTAGCTTCTATCAGATATGCTTAAAGGTACAGTTTAGTGAAGATGTGGCCAAATTTGGGGAGCAGAAACTTCTCATGACAGCTTTGTCCTTTAAGCCAGTAATTCAGGAAATTGTGTCTTCTGTCTAGATTGGGCAATTTCTACTGTTTAGCCAAACTCACTGCTTTGTTAAACAGTGGTTCACTTTCAAGAGTCCCTTATTCTGAACTTCTGAACTCAACCTGCTTCTTGTCAGTCCAAAGGGGACTTAGATTAGGGATCCAGCAACTCAAAAGTAGCTCTCCAAGCATGGATTGTTCAGCACAGGCTCTTCTGGATTTTTACAATCATTCTGTCTTGCCCAGATGAATAAAAATTTCAGGTTTTTTTTTTCTTATTATATATATATATATATATATATATATATATACACAGTTGACCTCCTTCTGTAATATTTCAGACACTTGTTTTTCTGTTTCCATTGTTGCAGACATGACTTGGAAATTTTATGAAATTCTGGTGTCTTCCCCAGTCTGCACTCAGTGATGCTGTTCTTCCATCAGTTTAACTAGTTTTGCCTCATACCATGTCCTGCTTACAGATATGTGACTATGCTTTGTGCTCTATTTTTTTTCTGCCTAAATGCTCAGTCATCACAGCAACCTGTTCCAGCTAGTTGCTCCAAGAAGCACTTCAAGATACTGTTCCCTGCAAATAGCAAAAAGTAATTTTTCTGATACTGACAAAACCTTCATAATAAATTACTGTCTTGACTATCACCTCTTGTTGTGAAATTTGAGAAATACCTCCTCAGCATTCTTTCCCAGCCAAAGATGGAAGTGAGTGACATTTAGTCATTGGCTGCTGATACTTAAATTCATGAAGGGTAATGGGGTGGGGTGCTTTTTACCTGAGCTGTAAAAATGTCACCTGGCTCTACCCTCGATGATGTTTGTTGGCCCAGGGACTCTTTGCAGAAATAATCTTTAATAAAGATAGTTGGTTGCTCTAAGCCATTGGCATTGCTCAATACTTTAAAGTAAACCAGAAAGAAATATCAGCTCTTGCTTCAGAGTTTGTTTCTGTGGTGTTATTTGAACACTGTAGAAATATTGCCCTGGGAGTGGTCTCTACTATTCAGAATAAAGGAGAAGGAAATGTTAGACTTTCCTGTAAGTACTCTGTGAATCTTTCTGTGACAGACTTCCTCTGGTAACAGAGCTGAACAGACTAAAATTTTTGGAGACATCTGCTAACCTAAAAAAGCTTAAGCTGTCAGGTCTGGTTCAGCCCTTGACTTGGCTTTCCATTTCTCTACTTAGCAATTACCTCTCAAGGCAATCAAGAGTGCATAAAAATAAAAGCTGCAAGGCAAATAGGAGAAGAGACTTATTCCTGTTTCTTGTTCTTTTTTGTTGTTGTTGTTGTTTTTGTTTGCCTAATTCCCTGTAGGAATTAGCTCCTATATTTAGAAAGAAATAAGAATAAGGGACTGAGAAAACTCTCCCATCTCTCCCTGTCTCTTCCCGCTGGGATCAGACTGGAATTTGTGCTGTGGCCTGGACTCAGTCCATGATAATGAAGTAAAGCCTCTTGGCATACCAAGAGAGCTTGCAAAAAGAGGAACATCATAGGGTGAAAAAAAACATGCCATCTCATATTTGTTCCTTTTTTTTCTTTTTCATTTTTTGGAGGTATGCTTGTAAGAGCTTTGTGTGAACACTGCTGAGCATTGTTATTATCTTTCTCTCTACGAGAAGGAGCTCGACAGAAGATGTGCAATGCAATGTGGCTGCTGGAGTAAATTCTTCTTGGTGGGAGCAGCTGGCAGAGGCCATAGCTCAGAAGCCCCTGCAGTCCTGGGCTGCACGCTACCTGTCCCAGCACTGATGAGCAGCTCTCTGCTGATCTGCACTGAATTATGTGAATACCTTGTTGCCATTTCTCTTCCTCTTGAGGTTCATTGCTTCTTCCTGCTGCCTACCCCTTGCCCTCACTCAGTGTGAACATCAGGTACCCCCAGTTGGAGGAAGTACACCCAACCCAGCTGGGTACCTGGCTCCTACAGGAATGCAGGTATAAGGTGGATCTGCATTTCATTTCTTTCTGCCCACTCATGTTCTGCCTGCATTTTGATGGAAATAGAAAGCGCCTGGAGGCTTGCTGAAGTTTTAGGTCTGAATGAAAGCACTGGAGACTTGAGACTTCAGAAGGATTTTCTGTATCTTAAATATACAACCTATTGTTATGATTTTGCTGCTGTTGTTCTTTGCTGAAATTAAGCTGCAAGACAAAACTAGGTCTTGTGGGTGAAATTTTGTTAGTGCTGCATTCTCTCAGCTAGCTTGTAGCCCATTCATCATTCCTACCTCTCTTAAGTCATTTGTATGGCTGTCACATTGATGCAGTCTTTTTCTTTTGGATTGTATCTTCATTTAATAGCTGAAAGAGCTTTGTCTCTGTCAGAAAAGTTTGAACTGAAGTAAATATTTCTGAGCTCTCTCTGGAGCTTTCTCTAAATACACAGGCTTTATTAAGAGCTACTGATTTGGCTAGAGACCGTGGGACCTTCCCCATGCATGTGCCATAGTTTAATTCCCTAGACCCATCCTGGGTCTCTTGCCAGCGTTTGTTTGCACTGAGGAGAAATTACAAATTGATCAGTTGTCTTACTTCTGCATGCTATATTTTTTTCTGTCCCCAGAGGCAGTCAGTGCCTACGGTTCTGTTGTACAACAGTCAATAAGCAGATCATCCTCCCCATCCCCTCCCCAGCAGAGCTTCTGTGATTCAGACATGAGCAGGATCACTGTGGCAGAGAGACTGGGAAAAGTGGGGATCTTCTGGGTGAGTTCTTGAAAGTCTGTTATCCCATACACTTATGTAGTAACACCAGCATTTCCTACAGCACCATGCAGCACAAACATTTGCTGGCTAATTTTCTCTCAGACTTGCATAAATGTTTTAGTTTTAGTTTTTAGTTTAATTTTATTTCAGTGTGGCACATCTACTGATTTCAGTGTAGCGAAGAGGCGGGCTCAGACTTGCTGATGTTTGCAGTTGATTGGCAGCTGGTATCCACTCTTTCGTGCTGGGCTGTATGTCTAGACCAAGACATAAACTAGAAAAATTGGTTTTTGTCTCTTTTCTGTTGGTAAAGAAGTGTGAGATAGGCTGATAAGCTTGACAAGTGTCTCTAGGCTAGGCAAGGCGGACTTCAGATTTGCATGTCCTCATATATTAAAATTTTTCATTCGTATGTGTTTATGACTTGAATGAATGAGCAAAAGCATTTGACTTGCAATTGTTATCCTTAAATAACTATTTAGGGGCAAATAAGTGGCATATCTTATGTAAAGAAAAGAATTTACGTTTAGTATAATTGAGAGCTTAATCATTATCATTCCAGATCTAATTATTGCAATGATGATAATGATAGTGATGATAATGATGATAATAGTGATAATGATGATGATGATAATGCAGTTATTATACACCTACTTCTTCATTTCCTATCTATTTTGCTGGTGTTATGCTTGCTTTTTCTCAGTGCCTCAGTACCTAAGGTCGGTAGTTTTGTCCTGTTCTTGATGCTATTCCTTCACTGGTAGAAAGAGGTTGTTTATTTCTTTATGCTTTGGTTTTTTTTCTTCCTTTAAGGATCACCTATGGCCAGTTTTGACAGGCTTTTTCAATTTTGTTCTTTCTTCATTGGTCTGAAAATGTGATGTCTGACTTTTTTTACAGTGCCTACTGCAAAATTCTCTGTTCTCTTGTCCCTAAAAGTAAGTATTTGTTTCTGTTTTTTTTTCTTATTCAATTGTTTATTTTCTGTGTCCAGCCATTTTTTTGTAACTTGGTGAGTTAACATTGATTGATTGCTCATACCTATGGAATACCAGTGCCAGTCCTCTGGCCCACTTCTTATTCAACCACACCTGCATTCCTTTATAGCATGCACCATGTCTCTACTCTTTCTAGCCTCTCCTATTATGCTAGATCTTCAGTTCTATACACCACAATATTATGCTAGAGTTGTGGATATCTAATTTGACACAAAATATTGGCTTGTTACTGATGTCTGTGCAACATTGTAGGTGTATCATATGAAGAAAGTAAAATGAACCAGCAAAATTGCTCTCACCACTAAACCAAGTGAAACAAAGCTGCAGGCAGGTCAAGAAAATTTTGGGCGGGAAATCTATCAGCGTTTGGTCCTGAGGATTTTAAATAGAACATTCATGGACTGTTATCAGCAATGGCAATCTTATATTATGAGGATACATAATTTCAAAATGCCTGGACTACTCCAATGAAGAAGCCTGCAAAAATTTTTTTTTGTTCATCTCCAGGTATGTCACCATTAACACCTCAGACTTGTAGCTAGTTATCTCCTTTCCATGATTCTGGTAAGCAAGTATCCCTATTTCAAAACTGGTTGCCAATGTTATCTTGAAACAACAAAAAAATTCTCAGTCTTTTCAGAAAGACTAATGTTTCTGTTTTCTCTCTTTTCATCTGCTCAGAACAATATTTAAATTTATTACTACATTTAGGAAATAGTTCTTTTTTTACAAATTCTGGCCAGTGGCTTTTCTATTTATAGGAATACAGCAAGAAATGCTGCATCAAAGGTCTCAGATCTGCTCTTAAAGAAGGGACAGTCTTTAATGTCTGTGTAGTTCTCTGCTTATTTCCCACTGAATCCTGCAGCACCTTTTTTCTTAGCCAACAATTTTGATACAACCTAGCTAAGAAGCCAATTTTGTTTTGTGGGTAGACAATGAAAATTCATCCTTCTTTCCTTCTCACTAAATTAAAATTATTTGGACTTTTAGATCAATTTCTAGAACAGGAATAAATGTTTGTGAAGTGGCAGGAATGATTTATGGAAGTCTATCCCTACAGTTGGACTATTCATGCTTGAATATATGGGCCTGCTGTGTCTATGTTCTGTCAACCAAGAGCCTTCAAGAATTCTCCACAATGTTTGTAAATGCATAATGCTTTTTTTTCCTCATAATAAATTAACAGAACAGTATGCATTTGTATTTCTTGGTCATTTGCTCGTTAATTGCTAAGTGTACCTGCAATGTGCTATATGGATTTTTTTACACTATTCTTTGGGCAACTCTGCACCATTGCTTGTCAGAGACTCTTTATGATACTGATACCTGCTTCAACAGGACTCAGCAAGTTATACTCCATGTATATGTGGCATGACTGAGAGGAACTGATGTACAGAAGTAATAATGAACTACAAAATAATATCTTAATCTCATAAACCAGGTGTATGCTCTAAGAGAGCTTTCAAACTGTTCATCACTGTAAGTTCAAAGACTCAATTTGTGCTTCTCAGCTTATTTCATCAGACCCTATTAGATGGTGGAAGGGGAAAATAAAAAGCTGACATGAAAGTAGCTTCAAATTGCATCTGTCACCTTAAAGAGATTCTGTCAAAATAGAGATAAAATAGCATTCATCAGGAGACATGCTGGATTTATCCAGATAAGGACAGCTTTCCTCTGCTTGTAGACAGGATGCTCACACAGAGGCAGTGAGAATTAAGTAAACAGAATTCTTCAAGATTAGATCTCAGATTAGAACAGCTAGAGATATTTCTTTGTTGTGTGTTAAGCTAAACAAACTGGGATTTTGAAGCTCAGTACACAGGATTTCTCATTTTTTAAAAATTTCTTTTAAAAAAGATTTTGGTACACAAACAGAACCCTTACTGTAAGGATCATTGGGGTTTTTGAAGTGCAACTGTATTTAACTTCATTTTTTTGTCCTCTGAGATACTTCCTGTGCAGTTGTGTGGTAGATACTAAATTAGCCCTGCAAAAAAAAATATTTCATGCAACTTCTGAATGTTAAAAGGAACCCCTTTTATGCTTCTTTCTGTTACACTTTCCTGACACTATTGGATGGAACTAGTTACACAAAAAAAAAGCATTTTAAAGTTTCTTCCCTTTTTGTCTGTCTCTAGCCAAATTATCTGATTCTCTAACGTACAGAAGCAAGACCTGCTAATAAGAAAGACCATACAGCATTTCTTTGCTTCATCAAAATATCCTGCAAAATATGAGTCCTGGCAAAACTGGACCAAGCTAATTTAAGTAACTTACAATCAGCTGCAGTTTTTGCAACAAGAAGAGATTTTTTTTATTCTTAGCAGGGTACTGCTATGAATACTTAAACTGATTGTTTAAGTATGAAATGCTAAGAATCCACATTTTAAGTTATAGTAGGATTACTGTCTTCAAAATCTTTGAGCTCTAAAGACTCCCCATTGGCTTTCTTGGGAATTGAACCATGTTTCCAGTATGCTGATTTGCTGATTTTGCTGATTTGGAGTGTTTAACAGAATTGACTTTCAAAAATGTATATAAGCATTAGGTTTGTATCACTAAACTTCTTATTACCTGAATCACAAAAGGAGTACTGATATTTTTACCTGATTCTTGGGAGAAATTGAGAAAAAAATTAGCTTTCACTGTGTTGATTACAAGTTGTCCTATACTTGCACACAAGTCACTGTGAACCATCTAACTGCATCTTAAAACCTGGCTCAAAGCTGAACAAAACTGGCTTTGCCAAGAAGCCTGATAGTCCTCTGTAAGTACTGAGAGGACTCAAAAATCAGAGCTGTCTTTGCTCTTTTTGCCTCCCTTGCAGCATGTCTTTTGGCAATGACTCATGGGCAGCCTGGTATGGCTGCTGTCTTTGGACAGGACTGCTCCCTGCTGCAGTTCCCCCAGAGACAGCAGTCAGACAATATGTTAATTACTTAGCACAATCTATGACTTCATTTTTTTTCAACAAAGTAAAGTTTCTGAAGCAGGGTCAGGCTCATTTTTCTTCTCAGCATTTACCTCTGGCTCATCTGGCTCTTGGGCTGGACCCAAGTTCCATCTCACTCCGTGCGGCAGTCAGTTGCTCAGTTCAGTCTTTGTGACTAACATAATAAGTGCTGTCACACAGGCAGTCTTAAACTGAATTTGTCTCTGTTACTTGCATGTCCAATTAATTTAAAAAGTGTTTTAAGATTTATATTCCTATCACACTGGTGCCAGGATTACATTAAATTTTAAGACTGCCTGATGCTGAACTTCTCTGGGTGCTGGGCAAAAGGCAAACTATATCTGTCTAGTCCTTTTAAGGACACACTGCAGAACTCTATAACAGAAATTATGCAAATCACAAGGATGATGAACCAAGTGTTATTTAGGAGATTCTTCTTTTTGCCTTGCTCCAACAGCTCTTATAGTTGGGAGTTTACTGGATTACTTAGGGAGGAAGAAAGCAGTACCTCAGGTGTATCTTTTGCAGAACCTGTAACAGCAGGATATGTTCCACACATCTTGGCACTCTGAGTTCTTAAAGTCAGGGAGACTACAAGTTGAGAGTTGACAGATTCAAAATTTCCCTCTCAAACTCTTTGGTAGGAAATTACATCTCAATTCTTATTAAGGATTCTCTATAGTAATGACTGACATATAACCTAACAGGCAAATGGTGGTTACATATATAATAAAAAGTGATAAGAATTATCAATTTGACAACGACAAAAATTATTTTTGTGACGTGGCTGTAAAGAAAAGTTTGTGACTGCAAGGTCAAAGTCCAGTCATATTACACCTGGAAATGTTTGAGATTTGCCTGCGTGTCTCTGAGTCACAGCAGAAGTGTATCAGTCTCAAAATAAAATCTACCATACATCGCTGATAATTTGCAAAGTGTCTATTAGTGGAGAAGCAGGACAGGACTACATAAGAGGTATGATATGGATTAATGGTGAGGCAGCAAAGTAGCTGTCAGTAGATAATGAGTATTTGAAAGACTGCAGAGTCAGTAACACTGCAAAATCCTAACTTTATTTTGGGTTCTTATGGCAGAAAGATCTGGAAATGATAATGCTTCTGTATTTCAAGAGTGGCAATACTATGTCAGGCAATACTATGTATGCTGGTTCTGCTAGAAGAAAGCTGCTGCAAAGCATTTCAGCACTGAGCACTGGGCATGTAAAAGATGACTCTTACAGTCTATGCAGCTTGTTTTTTTCACTGTATTTCTAGAAATTGCGCAGTCAGCTGATTGGACTGGGAGAAATAGATGCTTTTAAATTCAAGGAAATGCTTCCTAAAGCAGACCAAGATCCTAATGGCATTCACTGACAACATTATGATTTTGTTATGAAAGAAAGAACCACTGTAAACTTGTTTGCTATCAATGTGAATGTCATGTGTTTCCTCAGGAGATCCATTGAAATTCAGGTATAATTACTCCACCTTTGCAGCAAAGTGTCAATGAAAGGTCCTATTCCAAATAATTAATTACCATTTTCTAACCTCCTGCTCATCTATAATGCCGTTCTTAGGAAAAAAAGAAAAACAACCAAAAAACCCCATGCTATCTCTTTACTTCCTGTTAATTCCGTCAAATTATCAACTCAGCCTTCAAAAATTAGCTTTTTTTCTTTACGTGACAAAGGTTGCGTGTGGAAGGAGGTCTTTGAAATTAGCACGCTAATAATTGAGCTTGCAAGTTTTGCTGCTATCAGATCACTTGTAGCCTTAATATAAACTACTTTTCACTTACATAAGAGAAAGCTTATGCAGTTTAAACCTCTGAAGTGGCAGAATGCTTTCTGTGAATTTTTGTGCACTATTCTTCTGCAAGAACTTGCTTTTGTGTGTTTTTTTTCTTTCTTTAGCTTTCTATAATCCTTTACATAAATCTTACTTGACAATAACTTATTTCAAATTTTGTCCATCTTGCAGGTGATTAGTTCTGTTTCTTCATTCAGAAAGGATGTGCATTAAAAAACAGCAAACAGCTGTTTTTCATTCTAAAGCAGGAAGCCTTGGAAGAGACGGTAGAAACCTAATAAATACCATTTTATTTTTTGTTTTGAGGCTGGGGCTTCTTTACATGTTGTAGGAAATGTGCATTTCCTTACTTGACACACAGAGTTGTTGCTTACTGGAGAATGTTACATAGAAATAATAAGCGATCCCTACCATTAGCAACGTTATGTATTGTTGTGATGAAGCAGGATGAAGCTGCTGGTAATAACAAAGCTTCTGCACACACCAAACTGAAACAGAAGGTACTGGCCCTGAGAGAACACTGTTCAGAACAAGAAAAGTGGATCAACTGCAAAACTGTTGATGGAGAAGTAACCACAGTTCTTGAACTATTTATCCACTGAAGCATTTCTTTGGTTTCTTAGCCCTTAATTATTTTAAATGACTAACAGACCTAATCTGTAGGGTAGATCACTGGACTGTGATATTCTATAAAGTATCTTGGCATACCTCATAATTTATCCAATTTATGTTATTTAAACAGAAATATATGCACTGCTTGTGGAGAAAAGAATCTCCTCTATGAGTACATCCACAAGCTCACCATTC